CTGCCCCAGGGCCGCGTCCTGGCCCTGCCCGCAGCCGCTGCCCTCCGGTGCACGCGGGGAGGCTCCACAGAGTCTTCCCCCAGCCAGGAGTCTATCCCCGCGCTGGCATCGCCCTCCGTGGAGTGAGGGTCCTGCCAGAGCAGTGCCAGGAGTGTTGTGTGCTCGGACCCTCACAGTGTGGCCAGGGAGGGAACGGCCCAGGCTGTTTCTGCTCCCGGCTGACTCTCCTGCTGCTCCAGCTGGCAGAGCACCAAACGGGACGGACGCTGGGATGTCCAGCCCCCAGGGGATGTCACAGCCTCTTCGTTCAACACCACAACATCCCTTCAGCAGTCCCAGCTCTCCTGGGCTTGCTGCACCCGAGGAGGATCCATTTTGCAGCCTGTTGAGCACATGTTGGGCTGCACTCCTGGTCTCTTCCAGATCAGGGTTGAGGTCGCATCCTTGCTGACTGTGCTGCACCTGCCACTCAGTGCTGGTTCCCTCTGGAGCTGGTGGCTCTCACTGTGGCTGGTGACCCTGTGGATCCATCCCTTCCCTGCCTGCCCTGCTCCGTGGGAGATCCCCCGCCTACCGCAGAGCCGCTTCATTATCCTCCCCCAAATCCCTCTCCTGCCATGACGTCTGCAGAGCACTTGACTGAGATTAGACTGTCATGTGGAGGTTCTTACTCCCCCACTGACCTGTGCTTCCCCTCCTGCCTCTGGCTCCTGCCTCTCCCCTGCTCATGCAGCTGGCGGCAGCACCGGCACTGCTCCGGGATGTGGTGATTCCAGGGCTCTGGAGGGAACGTGGCACACCAGGAGTTCCTTGCTCTGTCTGCTCAGGCACTAACTATTCCATCACAACTTTCTTGCCAGCGCACTTCGCTTTCCCAGAAGTGTCTCTGACACCTTCTGCATCTCCCTGAAGAGAATTTTCCATTGAATTCTCATTACTTTGAGAGACATCAGCAAAGCTAAAGATTTTATGCCTTCTCTGCGCAGTGGGAGTGCAGCAGAGTTCTGGGTGCAGCACAGAGCCCTGCCTAGCCTGCTCCTCAGTGCCTGTGTTTTATTTAAAGCAGTAACTGGTGCTTTTGTGCCTGCAGGCAGCTGCGTGGTGCCCTGACATGATCCCAGTGCTGTCCCTCAGCCCATTGTGCGCTCAGCCCTGGGGATGTGTGTTTCCTTCATAACACCCTGCTTGAATTTCCTGCTTCCTCCTCCCTTGGCAGTGAGTGCCCTTGGATCAACACCAGTTTGCTGTGGCAGCAAGCTGTGGACCGTTGTTCAAACAAGAGAACAGCAAGGAGTGGTGTTGCCTTGCCACAGCATTCAGCATCGATGAAGCACAACTGGAACAGCCTCCAGCCCTGCTGCCAGGCCTTCAGGAGGGACCTGCAGCTTTGGCAGGAACTCAGGATTAACTTTTGAGAAGCATAAGTTAGGAAGCTGAGAAATTTGGATAGAGTTGAGGTGCTATGGGCTCTTGGTGTTGAGAAGGCTCAGTCATGCTGGTCTCGGTGCTTGTGCAGGGAGAGGTTCGATCAGGGGCTGCTTGGCCCAGGGAGAATGAGATCTGGTTACCCAGAGCTGGGGCGGGTCAAACTCAAACTGGAAATGAGCTGCAGATTTTGCTGAGTTAATCACTGGAATCCTTCATCTTGTGATGGATTGGATGGGATTTTCTGAACTCTTTGCTTAGGTTTGAGGATATTTCTGTGAGAGATGTTTTCGTTTTACTTCAGAGATAAATAAATTAGTGTCAGGATTTTCACGATGATGTTTCTATCTTGGGTTGTGCCCAGAGTCTGACCTGATGCTTGTGACTAGCCATGCCTGGGCTTAATGGTTTCAGGTCCTTGCTTAGAAACTTAGGGTGATTTCAGTTGCTGTAAGCTAACTTTTGTCTTTCTCCTTTTGAGGTGTCAAGCGTTGTTTCTCCAGTAATTTGGGCCTTTTTTGAAGCACCTGCTTGCCTAATGCCATGAATATTGCAGTGAACCATGAGGAAGAAAAAGCTGTCCATTCCTGGTCGAGAATTTCCTCTGCAGGACAGAAGGTGCTGGAGGAAGCCCTCCGAGTCTTCAACCCAATGTCCAAGGACCTTTCGGACACAGAGACACAGCTGGTGGCCTTCCTTCAGGGCCTGAAGGAGGAGGGCTACCAGCCCACGATTCTGAGGAGTAAGGATGTGTATGGGTACAGCTCGTGCACGGCAGACACACCAAGCCAGAGGGATGAGAACACCCTGCACGGCTGTGCTGGTGCCGCTAAGTCTGCTCGGAGTCCATCGGGGAATGCTGTGGCACAGGTATCTGCTCTGCCCACCAGAGTTCCCGTGAGCTCTATGAGAGTCTCTGCCCAGCCCGTCCCTAAAGGGGATTCCACAAATCTCCTCCTGAGCTCCTTGAAGCAGACAGGATCTGGCACGTCCAAGGCAGCGGCAGTGGGCTTCCCTACCAGCATGTATCCCGATGTGTATCCAGCCATGAGACTGTCGGTGGTGCTGGAAGCACTGGTGCCACTGAAAACGACAACATCCTGTTTGGAGTCTAAGTACACACGAGGGCGTCTTGGGATCTCACCCTCGGACATTAAACTCCTCAAGGCTTCACGTTCTCCGAGGCAGTTTTCTTCAGGCAAGAGCACTAAGTTATCTGAAGGCAAAGGGTACAAGCGTTCGGGAAAGAAAGCACCAGATTCTGCCAGCCGAGCTTTAACCCTTCTGAAGAGACCAAAGGGTGGAGTGTTGCAGGAGAGCAATGCCTGCAAAGCCTCGGGAATTCTCAACGGGAGACTCACAGGCAGCTCCTCCCAGGGCTGTGCCACAGTGCCACAGCCAAAGACCTTGAAAATCAAAGATATGGAAGGTCTGGTGGGAAAAACAGAGTGGAAGGACAGCAGCAGTTACCGGGAGAGCATTGGGCAGAAGAAGAGAAGAGCTACAGAGACAAAAGAAGCACCGCAGAGGAAAAAAGCAAACACCATTCCTGCCCAGAAGAAAACTCGACGGGCTCAGAGCACTTTGAACCTGCTGAAATTCCGGACCATCAAGGTGGGCAACTCTTCCTCTGATGATGAAGTGAGGAGGAAAGCACAGAAGATTCTTAGGGTCAACCTGTCCCCTGTGATCCGAATTCAGCCCTTGTCCCACTCTCACAGTGTCCCCTGAGTTTCTTCATGCTGTCACTTTTGTATGTAAGTAACTAAATACGAGCCTGGCACCAGAGCACAGAGGCTGAGGAGGGACTCTGTGTCTCTGGTGCTGCTACGCCGACTAACCTGCAGATAGAGCAGCCTGTGCTCGTGCTGTTCCTGCCTGTGTGCCACTGCTGTGGAGAATTGGCTGCAGAAACACAACCCCCTGTTTGGGAGCATGGGCTGGTGACTCTGGCCGGCCGTGAGCTGAGCAGGCCGGGGTTCACTTCCCGCCGCGCTCCTCTGAACAGGGCAGGCTGCGCTCTCCTGCAGGGGAGAACACAGGACTTCCTCATGACATTGATGCACTGTGATATTGCTCTTTTTCAAGCTGTACATTTACTGGTTTTATTTTGATCAAATTTTATAACTTTATTACCTATATATCTATATATCCATATATGTGCATATGGCCCAGGAACTGTGGGAAGATGCACTTCCTCCATCCCTCTGGGATTGGGTTTGATAGCTTTTGTTCCCCCTCCCCTTCAGCCAGTCTTTTGTTGAAAGGTGCCAGGATTCCTTCGTGGTTCAGTGTTGTGACAGCCTGTCCTGGGCTCCCTCGAGCACCTCGGAGGCAGCTTTATAGCCACTTGTTCGTCTCCAGAATGCCAAGCAATTTGGAGAATTATCAGCTCATCGTTTTAATCCTATTTTCGGTATTACCTCTGCGTGAGAGTGGGGGAGTGTCATGGGGCTGCAAGTCTGCCTGACGTCTCCGGGTGTCTCCTCCATTTATTAGTAGCAGAAGTTCTGAATTCATGGGAGGGATTTGCCTCCAAAGACCAGTTCCTCCTCAGCATCCAGTGTTGCTCCACTCTCCTGTACCCCTGATGCAGCTGTAGAACATGAACTGTGACTGTTAGAGCCAAAGGGCTGGAATTTTTAGCAGGAATTGTGTAAAGTGTCCTGCCCACCACTGCTTCTGCTGTCACTGGGTGTTTCAGGAGCCGGTTCTAGGTGCTGGGAGAAAAGACTGTTGGTTTTGGCCAGGGTTAAACCACAAGAAAGGCACAGGCTGTGTTTGAATGTATTAGCTACATCCTGCTGGTCCCAGAGCTCAGTGGGACATCTGAGTCCGAGTTAAAGCAGAAAAGCAAAAGAGTTGCGAGGACATACTCTAGCACTTAGAGAGTTGCTTCCTGTTGATTTTTGGGCATGAAGCAGTAGGAGGGGACATAGGCACCATGTGATGGGTGGCAGCGTTGCCAGGGATGTTGTGAGAAGGTGTGTGGCAGGTGTGAAAGCTGCTGGGGCGCAGGCTCTGCTGTGCCCAGAAGGCACTGCAGAACTGCTGCTGTCGCTGCCATCGCCTCCCTGCGCTGGGGGCATCCTGTCAGATGGGACACAGCCTGTGCACTGGTGGAGGTCAGGTCTGTGCTCCACAGGGAGGGATCTGCAAGCTTCAGGAGAAACACCTTGCTGGAGTGGTTGATGCTGCTGCTGTCACCTGGAAGGGACAACCTGGTGGCTTGGAGAAAGGAAGCGGCACTGGGCCAGGCACGGGCCTGGCTCCGTACACCACTGTACATTCTGATCTCTGCAGCAGTGGGATGATAATCCACTCACACTCTCACCGGCTCAACATACCAGTTGTCTGACCCAGTAATCTCTGTGGACATTGGCTGAAGGGATGAGCTCCCCAGGGAAGCCCCAGCTCCTTTACGTTTCAGCCCGCCCGAGCACCTGGTTGGATTTCAGTGGTTTGTAAAAGGGGTCAGTGTCTGATCCCCAGCTCAGAGAAGACGACTGTGACACGAAGAGAAGAGAGGAAGTTCATGATGGGGTGAGGGGCAGGGAAGTTGAGCATTCCAAGGTGCATCTGGGTGCTCACCCAGGTAGAACAGGATGAACGTTCTTCATTGAGCAGCCTGGTCTAGTGTGAGGTGTCCCTGCCCATGGCAGAGCGGTTGGAACTAGATGGTCTTTAAGTCCCTTCCAACCATTCTATAATTCTGTGATTCAGGGGATGACTGCAGGCCCTGAACCCCACACTTGTGTTCTGCATTGCTGTCAGAGAACATAACTTGCAGTGCTTGAGACTGACCTGTGAATGCCGCTCGCTGCTTGGCTGCAGAGGAGGAGGAAATATTTCCTTCTGCTTCTGTGTTTTAAAATGCCCTGGCAGAGAGTTCCCTGTCCTGCCCTGATGAACAGGGACTCTCCATCACTGTCAACTGGCCAAAAATTGCTTTGTCCCTTTTATTCCCACTCCCTTCAGACCTTTCCCATTCCCACGCTCTCAAATGCCAGGTCTTGAAGTCCTGCACTGGCGTTTCTCTTTTTGGCTGTTTCCCGAGGAGGGCTCTGAACTCCTGCCTGTGGTATTGCTGTCTGACAGGCTGCTCAGCAGCTTCCCCTGTTCCCAGACCCTTATAAGGCCACTGAGCTGTCTCTGGAGCCTCCTCATGTGGTGCAGACATCCCAGCTGAGCACTTGGCCTCCAGTGGGAAAAACAACGTGCATCAACAAGGCTGAATTCAGGTCAAGGTTGCTTTTCCTCCAGCTTGAGCAGGAAGCTGAGCACCTCAGCTCAGCTTACCAGGCCTCATCCCTCCTCTTTGCTGTGTGTCTTCCCCCAGCTGCACTGCTGCCTGCCTCCCCACTCTTCTCTGTCACCTCTTGTCTTTCACAGCTTGGGTCTTTGCCAGTCAAGGACTTGGCTTGTACTGTTGCTTGACATGTCCAGCAAAGCATCCATCCATTAGCACTGGCATGCCCTTCCCAGCACTGAGACGGGTTCTGTGCATGCTTAGAGGCAACAGCTCACCCTGTGTCCTTCCCAGGCCATCAGCAAGAGGTCTTCTGTTCCAAAGGGAGAGATTAGGATTGGAAACACCTCTGTGTCACCGAGACTTCTGCCAGGGAAGGGAGCACTCCATAGCTGTGTGCTCAGGGACCTGCCCGTCATCAGTCCCATCTCTGTCAGCTCTCCTGCACATCTCTAACAGACCACAGGGCCCTGTGTGACAGGGCAGCGCTGGGAGCTCCATTGTCTGCCCTCCTCATGTCTCCTCTTCCCCTTTGCAGGTGTTCTGGGAACTCAGCTGAAAGGATTGCAGCTTGTTACTCACAGAGGGGCTTTACAGCCCCTCGTGCCAGTGCCAGTGACTGCTGCCTGTCAGCTGGTGCTGGCAGAGGATGCCTCAGCCTGCTGAGGGTTGGCTCTGACGTCCTTTAACCTGTGCCCAGGTGTGGGTGCTCCTGGTGTCCTGGACCTGTGACACCGATGTGCAGGAGGCTGGGTTGTGGATGCTGCTGTCTGGTGTTTAGAGAAGATGAAGGGTTTGTTCAAACCAGAGCTGCCTAAGACCTGATCTAACTGGAGATCTCCCTCCTAAGGTCCTTTCCACCCTGTGTTATTCTCTGAGAGCAGAGTAACAGTTGCCTTCCAGGGATCTTTGCAGCAGTCACTGGCAGAACTCATGGAAATGCATTGCCCAGAGCACTGTGGTCTCTGCTGAGCATGAGGTATGCACCTTGTTCAGACCTGTTTCTGTATTAGTCACTTTGAATTCATCCAAGTGCCTAACCTGGCCTGTGCTGTTCTGGGCACTGTGACAGCCAAGAGCTTTGGAGACTGTCTTAGGAATGCTTTTAACGCATGGATTTGTGCCACTGTCACTTCTAGAAACGATTCGGCCAGCAGTCAAAGGGCTGTTCTTCCAACTGATTTTTTTGGAAATAATTTCTCCTTTTATTCAGCTGCCAAGAAGCAGTTTATGCTTCGCCTCCACCAGACAAGGTCCTTGAGCTTCCTGCATGCTTCAGATGTCCGTCAGCGAGGTCCGTGGGGAGAGCAGCTTGTCCAGCAGGCAGCTGAAGGGGAAGCTGACATCAGATACCAGTTGAAATCACAATGTTAATTGGTAGAAATGTTTTGAAGCTCATGTCTGCTGTGATCAGATTTCACCATCTGCCACTGATTTTAGTTGGAGAAGTTTCTCCTTAGCCTCTTCCCTGCAAGCCACGTAGCATGGTGCTGCTGCTGCTTCTAAAGTATTTGCATCCCCCCCCACCTGAACCAGCTGCTGTAGCAATCCTTGTACAGAATTTCTTAAGCACTATTCTGTGAAATAAGAAGGGATTATTTTGTTACTCCTGCTTTGTAGCCCACTAGTGGTATTTTAGTGCGAGGAGGAGGAGGTGTGCTCCCAGGAGTGTGGTGAGCACTCACCTTGCTGGGTACTTCTCAGACCAGCTCACACTGACAGGGCCAGGGGGCAGTGGGCTAAGACCCCTCATTGCCTGGTGTTTCCTTGCATGGAGTTCAGTCACTCACAGCTAAGAGCATCACAGGGAAATCAGGAGCAGAACAGCACCGGTGGGTGTTGCTGCGCACACAGCTCCGTGGCCCTACTCTGCAGCTGCCCCTGTTCTGCGGCCTGTCCTCCAGCCCCCTCCCCAATACACTAGCAGCTCTTCTCCACCCCACCTCCAGCTGTGGCAAGAACAGCTGGGGAGCTTTGGGTTTTGGGCTTGAGCATAGAGTTTGGACTCTTTTAATTGTGACTTTGTGCTGTGTTCATGGCCAGACCTTGCCAGCATGTGGGGGGTGCAGCCTCTCCAGCTGTTCTTCCCCTCAAATCCAAGTTCCCTGCCCTGTCTGGGAGCTGGGCCTTTGGCCACAGCTCAAGGGATGCATGGGGATAGAGAGCAGGTTTGTCTCTCAGCTCCAGTTGGGCAGTGTGACATGAGCTGGGCAGGGCAGCTTCTGAGGCAGGAGGGCAGGTTTGATGAGAGGATCCTAGTTTTGGCTATGGTCAACAGGGTTGGTGCTGAGCTGTGGAGCACCAGCCAGCCAGGCAGGCTGGTTGGTTTGTGTGGAAGGCACAGGTTCTTTTTCAGCCTTCAAAATGGCACTGGCCCATTTGCTTCTGTGGCAGTTGGGGACAGCTTTCAGTGAGCTGAGGTGGCCCAAGGAAAGGACAGCTGTTTTGGGACACCTGGCACCTTCCTGATGGTGCTGCAGCC